TCTGTTTTCCTTTCGTCTCGTCGAGGTTGACAAGCACTCGGGCATCGTCTTGATCCGGAGGAGGAGGAGCGAGTCTAAAGCGAGGCGGCGCTGTACTAAGATCCATTTTTTTAATGTCAAACCGGAACGTTTGTTTGCGTCCAAGTCTAAGTGGCTGCAGTATTTTTGGCAGGCATATCGGTCCTCTGAATATTCTGGGCACTGCTGGTGCGTTTGCGCCGAGGTCACATTCTGATGTTTGTCTGATTAGGTCCTGTTTGGTTGGGCTTTTGGCTTTGGTTTTTGGTCTCAAAAGCTAAAAGCCTAACTAAAGGGGCTGTTTTTAGAGGGTGTTTTTTCAGAAGCAGCTGCTTTTCCGTAGTTCATTTTTGAAAGCTGGGTTGACCCTGCTTTTGGCTTTTGGCTTTCTGTTTTTCGAAATTGGTGGAATAAAAAGCTCTTCCATAGTTGTTTCAAGAGAGATAAAGATAAAAGGTATATTTTATACTTGTTTAACCAAACAGCTTTTCACTTTTCTACAACTCACATGACCTACGTTGACTTTTTTTCATTTCACATCGACGCGTGACTTTTTTTTTCACGTACCACATTCAACTAAATAGGGCCTTAGTTGACTAGGTAAAGTAATCCCTACTTTTCGCCGGTTGCCGGAAAATACGTATATCACTTTCCTTGTGCCAAAACTCGCGGTGCATTGCGCTTATTAGTCGAATTTGTCAAATCATTTTCTTTTTTTGTCGCCCAGCTGCTTGTCCACGCCACGCCAGTGTTTTTATTGTGGGGAAAGGGAAACGCGATGGCGGGGACAGAAGTCGTCAATACCTAACCCAGGAAATTTTCACCGGAGCAAAGATGGCATGTTCGGCTGGTATTAAAGCCGACTGAAGTTCGGCTGGTATTAAAGCCGACTGAAGCTGTTTTATTGTGAGAGAAAAATACTGTAGATTATAGCTGATAAGTTCAAGTAAACATGCCACGGCTATGGATGAAAACAGTACGAATATTTATTCGACCGTCCGTTCGATCGAACAAATATGAACACTTATCTGGATAGTTACTCGGATATCCATTTTTTTTTTCGGATACGGATACTAAAACGGATATGTTAGGTGGATATCAAATACGGATGTAATATCATCGATATCCGGCGGATATCGGATAATCCGGATAAGTATCGGATATATCCGGATATTTAAAAACGGATATTATCCGGATATTTATTCAAAATTTAAAAATCACAAATTTGAACCATCCAAATTATCTCAAATGGAAAGTTGACCAAAACAACAATTGTAGATCTTGATGAGTTGAACAAACTTGGTATTCAAAACTTTTCAATTTGAAGTCATTTAGAGTTCATAATACTAGAGTCAAAGTGTTGTTTTTTCATTTGACCAAATTTGACTTGGTCAAACTTGCTCAAATGAGACACTAAATGATCTCAGATGAAAAAACTCTGAATACCAAGTTTGATCATCTCAGCAAGATCTACAATTGTTACATAGCTTATTTTCCTATTTGAGAAAGTTTTATCAAACACTAGTCATAAATTCTTAAATCTCATATAGACTTTCTGAAACTATGTCACACACTTGTGAAATTTGAACTATATTTTGTTCAAACTTTCTCAAATGAAAAAATGGCCTATATAAGGATTGTATATCTTGATGAGATGAACAAATTTGGTATTCAAAACTTTTCAATTTGAGATAATCTAGGGTTCCGAAAACTAGTTTGTAAACGTTGAAATTTAAAAATCACAAATTTGAACCGTCCAAACTATCTCAAATGGAAAGTTGACCAAAACAAAAATTGTAGATCTTGATGAGTTAAACAAACTTGGTATTCAAAACTTTTCAATTTGAAGTCATTTAGAGTTCATAATACTAGAGTCAATGTGTTGTTTTTTCATTTAAACAAATTTGACTTGGTCAAACTTGCTCAAATGAGACACTAAATGACCTCAGATGAAAAAACTCTTAATACCAAGTTTGATCATCTCAGCAAGATATACAATTGTTACATAGCTCATTTTTCCATTTGAGAAAGTTTTATCAAACACTAGTCACAAATTCTTGAATCTCATATAGACTTTCTGAAACTATGTCACACACTTGTGAAATTTGAACTACATTTTGTTCAAACTTTCTCAAATGAAAAAATAGCCTATATAAGGATTGTAGATTTTGATGAGCTGAACAAACTTGGTATTCAAAACTTTTCAATTTGAGACAATTTAGGGTTCCGAAAACTAGTTTGTAAGCATCGAAATTTAAAAATCACAAATTTGAACCGTCCAAACTATCTCAAATGGAAAGTTGACCAAAACAAGAATTATAGATCTTGATGAGTTGAACAAACTTGGTATTCAAAACTTTTCAATTTGAAGTCATTTAGAGTTCATAATACTAGAGTCAAAGTGTTGTTTTTTCATTTGACCAAATTTGACTTGGTCAAACTTGCTCAAATGAGACACTAAATGACCTTAGATGAAAAAACTCTGAATACCAAGTTTGATCATCTCAGCAAGATATACAATTGTTACATAGCTCATTTTCCCATTTGAGAAAGTTTTACCAAACACTAGTCACAAATTTTTAAATCTCATACAGACTTTCTAAAACTATGTCACACACTTGTGAAATTTGAACTACATTTTGTTCAAACTTTCTCAAAATGAAAAAAATGGCCTATATAAGGATTGTAGATCTTGAATCCATGACCATGACTCCATGAGACCCATGAAGCAATGTGCTTAGCTATTTCTACTCATGCCGCGAAGATTGATGCTTATATGATGTTTGATGTATGATGTATCTGTATCTTTATCTTATTTGTTGCTTTACTCTTTAGTCTTTCGGCTTAATCTAGATGGATTATGGACTCATAGAGTGGTGTAATGGTTTATGCATGATATATATATATATCTTGCTTTTTACTCAATATCCGAATAGATATTTGTATCCGACCTTCTCCGAATCCGATTCATACCGTATTCGATACTCATTATTCGTATCCGTAACCGAGTCAATCCGTATTCGTATATGTATCCGAACGTTATCCGTGTCCGAATCCGAATCCGAACAGAAATATGAAAACAAATATAATATGAGTGATATCCGTCCGTATCCGATCCGTTTTCATCCCTAGCCACGGCATTGGCTGACGTACGGACGGTCGGCTTCAGGGGCCGTGGTGCGCCGTGCAACCCTTTTCCCTGTCCTTGCGGCCGTTTCAGCCGGATGTTCTGAAAGAGCCGGTCTGCGCGGGGGAAGAGCTCACGTCAGACGGGCATTCCACGCGCGAAGTGACGACGCAGCCGCGAGCGAGTCCGCAGGGCAAAACCGGGGGAGGCCGGGTTACGCTTCGCTTGTGGTTTTCAGATGCATGCATGCTCCTGTCCTGTGATTGGATTAGATTTGTTGTGACTACTAGTAGGATAATCATTTGGGTCTTAATGAGAGTCGGCTGATCGGGAGAGTAGAAGCCTAGGATCGCCATCAGCGAAGCCGAAGCTAGATGCAGAATTTGCGCAGCATGCGGCCGCAGGATTCGTTTCTGACCAGGACGGCCCCATTGACCAAAAGGACTGTACGCCGTCCTATCGTGTCCCTCGAGCTCTGGCCCTGTCATAATCAAGGCGTTCATTATCCGACCAGAAAATCCTGTAGTAAAACTAACGCTAACAGTCCCCCATCCAATCAGAAAGTCGTCTCCATCGTGAGTAGTATTTATATCCCCCAACGAAATGCACGATCCAGCAGGGCACCTCGGCCGGTCGCCGACCTGACCTCCCCATCTCGTCGACAGCATGATATTATATTACCCCTGACTCTGACTGCAAGAACAAAATGATATTTGAGGCTTGGTTTAATCAAATTATGTTACTACGTACTTAGATTAGGTTTATTTATAGAGATAATATCAATATTTCTGACTCCAAACACACATATATACTACGAAATTAAATTCCATTACAAATCTAATGACTGTATCATAAATATCAGCATATCTTTTCCTATACATTTAATCAATTTTAAGACGATTTTATTGTTTCAAATAAAGTTAGATTCTCCATTCTCCCGCACTGCTCAAGCATGCGATGCGACTCCGTATGACCTTCTTCCCAGAAGGAGTAAAAATTCTCAACCAAACCTTTGTCTCGGCCGTCCGTCAGCAACCCTACCATGTCAGCTGCAGGACATATATATATACACGCGCATTGCCCCTATCCTTCAATTAGATTTTTAGATTAAATATAATAACGTAAGCTAGTATTTGCTCCTCCTCTAAACAACACGCTAGAGCGGGCGTTGGTTGGACGTAGCTGAAGGGCAGCAGCATCCAAGAACCCATCACAAGGATATTATAACTACTACTACGTAGCTGAAGGCAACATGTGAAAAGAGACCGAAGAGAGAGAAGAGGGAGGCCGACGCGCTAATCACAATTGCCCGGTTCGGTTCGGCTGCGAAAGCTACCTGCCACCAACGGTCGTCGCCGAGCAAGGATTAATAACATAAACAAAAGGAGAAACGTGCTGGCATCAGCGTTAATTGGGCTTTCCCGACTGCGTCGAATTTCCTAACATCCCCTTTTGACCGGCGGCCAGCCGCGCAAGCGCAACATGGCCACATCCTTAATCATCATCCGGAGTTCTGAACGCGTCGCGCGTCCGCCATTTGCTTGGGTTGACCTCTTCCCTTTCCTTCCGCACTCCGCAGAAGCCGCGCTGGGGGGCCACGGGAGGTAGAAGTAGAAGAAGAGGCGGTTGGTGCCCCGCCGGCTCAAATTGATGAACCACAGCGCGGCTCGGTCGCGTGGACTTGCGGAGGGGAGGGAGCATTAGTACAAGTTGCGACCTGCGAAGCACAGCTCTGTCTTCCTCCGTTTAGTAGCTAGTCTTGCCACGGCAGTCGTCTCCCCGGCCAGACAGAATTGAAGAGGGTGCTGCTCCGGCGTACGAGCATCTCATCGCCCGCCGTCGGCGATTAGGAGGGATGGGGGAGGCCACGCGGCGGCGGCGGGTCACGCCGACGCTGCTGCTGGCGCTGGTGCTGCTGGCGGTGACCGTTCCTGCAGGCTTCTGCGCCATCAACGCTCAAGATGGTTAGCGCTGTGGTCAACTCTGCTCCTTGCCTCCTTGTATCGCGGCAGCTTGTTGCTTCATCATTCTTTCCATTTCCGTTCCATCGGGTTTTTTTTATTTACGAGGGAATTAAGATGATGCAAAATTTTGATCCAAAATTGGTCTCCGCTCTTACCAACCTACCTGCCCCTGCTGTGCTCCTTCTGAAGTCTGAACTGAAAAGGCTTGTTTTCGCAGCTTCTGCTCTCAACGCCCTCAAGAGCCAATGGACGAACGCCCCGTCGAGCTGGTCCTCGTCGAGCGACCCCTGCGACGGGGGTTGGGACGGCGTCATGTGCAACAACGGCAGGGTCAATTCGCTGTGAGTGCCAACTGCCAAGGCAGGCCATGGCCGTGCCGCCGCGCACCTTGCTTCCTTCCTTTGTTTGTCCATCGATTCGATCCACCGCGTGTTGCCATATGCCATGCGAGCTACCTGACTGAATGGGTCTTAATTCACCATTGTCCGTGCGTGCCTTGTTTGCAGGCGGCTGTCAAGTGTCAACATCCAGGGCACGCTCAGCGACAGCATCGGACAGCTCACCCAGCTCGTCTACCTGTAAGTAACCTCACTTCTCACCTGCAGCTTCCCCAGCCTCCGAATCACAATCACTAGCTGCAAGGCACGATGTCTGTACCCGACGTGAGGTTGGACGATGCGTTTGCGTTTCAGACGATTCAGGGTAGAAAGATTTTGAATTGGTCAGAGCGCAGAACAATTATGCATCTAGGCTTGTAGCTACCTTGCAAACTCTGCTTTCTTCACGCCTCACCTGTCGAGCTGAGGCTGACCAATTCAAGTTTGGCAGAGTGTAGGTTGCGACTAATAATAATCTAGTAAACTATCATTACCATGGATTGGCTAGCTAGTCTCTAGGTTCTTTTGTTAATAAGGCCAGGTTACCAAAAATGAAACAAGATATACACGAAGTACGAACGTATAATGTGACAGAAATGATATGTACAGTACTTTTTCTAAGAGAGGGAAGTGTGTTCTATCTCACAACATAAGCACTTGCAGGGATGTTTCCTTCAACCTCGGTCTCAGTGGTCCAATGCCCGCTACAATCGGGAACCTTGCACAGCTTACCACACTGTATGCGCTACATTACTCTTCATTTTCGATCCTGCTTTTCATTATCCGACGTAGAAAATCACCAAAGATTAATTGGACTATACTTGTCAGGATCCTGGCAGGCTGTAGCTTCACAGGAAGCATTCCACAGGAACTCGGCAACCTACAGCAGCTCACATTCCTGTAATTACTAGCCTGCTTATTCTGATGAAAATGCATAAAAAATTCAGTCTGTCACTCCTTATGATTTGGTATACATAGTTAACTGGTTTTGTCGCACATTCTCTTTAGGGCGCTGAATTCAAACAAGTTTACAGGCACAATACCCCCTCAACTTGGTTTACTCTCAAATCTCTTCTGGTTGGATCTGGCTGATAATCAGCTCACTGGATCTATCCCGGTCTCAACAGCGACGACACCAGGGCTTGACCAACTTATCCACACGAAGCACTTGTAAGTGATATCATATTTGTGCTTTTGGTAAATTAAGCGAAATCAAAATGTATCCATGCCACCGTTTCATTTGCTTTATAAATACTTCTAACTTTTGATATATGAACAGTCATTTCAACAAGAACCAGTTATCTGGGACACTTGCAGGTCTCTTCAACTCCAAAATGAGTCTGATTCACGTGTAAGGGATCGCAAGACTTTCAGTTTATAGTTCATATGACATCAATAAAACATGCCCTGCTAACTCGTCTTGGTACCTTTGTTAGATTGTTCGATAGCAATCAATTAGCTGGTCCAATACCAGCAGAGCTAGGGGGCGTTTCAACACTCCAAGTCCTGTAAGTATCTTAGAATCTGTGGAAATTCAATATTTTTCCACAAACATTGTTTTATTATAATTTTTCCTCTTTATTAACTTGATTTGCATCTTTGACAGCCGACTAGATAGGAACAGTCTTCGGGGAGCGATTCCTCCTAACATCAGCAACTTGGTGAATCTTAATGAGCTGTAAGTGGCCCATGATCTTAAACAATCAGCAACAATCCTGGCACCCAACCACCATTTTTTAATTAAAAAATGTGACCTTCTGCAGGAACTTGGCCAGCAACCAGCTCACTGGATCACTGCCAGATCTAAGCAGCATGACCCAATTACATGTCGTGTAAGAAACTAACTGTAGTGATACCATGCTCTTTGTCAGATCATATCAATTTTCTGGATAATTACTGATGAATTGGTTGCTTCATAACCAGGGATTTAAGCAACAACTCTTTTGCCGTTTCAGTAGCCCCAAACTGGTTCACAACTTTAACATCTCTAACCTCTGTGTGAGTTATCTTAGACTATTTGCTCCTTACATCACCATCGTTATGTCAATATTGAACTCACCTTGTTATCTTCTGATCTCACAGATCAATATCTTCTGGACAACTTTCTGGCGTGGTCCCCAAGGGTCTCTTCAGATTGCCCCAGCTGCAGCAAGTGTAATGTTCTGGCAACTTATATACCAAAAGAATATTTTTAAATAAGGGGGAAAACATTATGTTAACCTTTTTTTGTCGGGACTCTGATCAAACAGTATACTGAGCAATAACGCGTTCAACGGAACCCTTGAGATCACGGGCAACATCAGCAACCAACTTCAGACTATTAATCTCATGAATAACGGTATCTTTGCTGCCAATGTCACCCCAAGCTACAAGAAGACTCTAGTGTAAGAAACACTCAGCCCAAGAGCCATAAAGTTGCTTCTTTTCTCCACCCAAACAATTCAGAAACACTTCATTTCTTGTTTGCCAAACCTGAATACAGGCTAGTCGGGAATCCAGGCTGCCAGGACCCAGATTTAAAATCCTTCTGCAGCCTCAAGCAGGAGAGCATGATAGCATACAACACCAGCCTGAGCAAATGTTCCTCTACAGATTCATGTTCCAGTGACCAGAGTCTGAACCCTGCAAACTGCGGCTGCGCCTATCCCTACGCCGGGAAGATGGTCTTCAGAGCGCCGTTCTTCACGGACCTGACAAACAGCACCACTTTTCAGCAGCTGGAGACAAGCCTCACGACGCAGTTATCTCTACGTGATGGCTCTGTATTCCTCTCGGACATCCACTTCAACAGTGATAACTACCTCCAGATTCAGGTGGCGCTTTTCCCATCGACTGGGGTGTCCTTCAGCGTGCCGGATCTGATACGGATAGGCTTTGATCTGAGCAACCAGACTTACAAACCACCACCAAATTTTGGACCTTATTACTTCATTGCAAACACATACGCTCTTTTGGCAGGTACTTTAGTTTTACCATCAAAAGTCCAATCTGTATTCAAGCAGTATGATGGTTTTATTTTTGTTGAAGAAAAAAGTATGATGGTTTTTGTGGAGCAACTAGTATGGTGGTATGAAATTCACTGTATGACTTTCTGTGTCAGGTGCTTCTTCTAGTGGTAGTAAGAAATCACAGATCAGTACTGGCGCTATCGCTGGAATTGCGGTAGCCGGTGGACTTCTTGTGATTGCTCTCATTGGCATGGTATTATTTGCGTTGCGACAGAAAAGAAGGGTTAAGGAAGTGACGGGACGAACTGACCCTTTCGGTAAGGACTTAAAAACTTGTGTGCATTTCAATTCCTGTTATGTTTACTGACAGTGTGGTGCAAGAGATTCATTGCAGAAGCTTTTAGAAAGTTACCATGATTTTCGTTGTTGTTTTTTTAACCAAGGACATGTCACAGTTTGCAAACAGTAGTAACCCAAACCAACTGTGACAAGAATAATACTAACGTCAGATCTGAACTGAATTTTGTTCCAAAATAACAGTTCCATGGGGAGTTTCTCAGAAAGACAGTGGAGGGGCTCCACAGCTCAAAGGAGCAAGGTTGTTCTCTCTGAATGAACTGAAGAACTGCACCAACAATTTCTCAGACACCCATGAGATAGGCTCAGGAGGCTATGGAAAGGTATCCAACAAAAAAAACCTATTTTTTTTAAAGCACAAAAAAAAAACTGTTTGGCTTTCTTAAAGAGGACCTGTACAAATTTTTTTTTTTGAAAGATAAGGACCTGCCCAAATAGTTAAACCATTGGATATAAAAAAATCAAAATTTAGGTAAATCTGCCTATTCTTCAAAATATATTCAGGCAACTCACAAATATCAAAACTGGTAAATTTAAAAGGTGTATAAGGGAACACTCGTTGATGGAACGTGGGTCGCCGTAAAGAGAGCAGAGCGGGGATCAATGCAAGGTGTGGTGGAATTCAAGAACGAGATCGAGCTGCTCTCCAGGGTTCATCACAGGAACCTGGTGAGCCTGATAGGCTTCTGCTACGAACAAGG